CATTCCTGCAAACCATAGTGATTCCCCCCACCATCAGAGTAGCCAAGAGTGTGAAGAGTGCAAAAGGATATGCTAAGGGACATTACTGAAAGATAGTTGGCAGCTCACCTTTTGCCACTAAATTTGCTTGATCTTCTGTCCCTGTGAATCCCAGCCCATTGCTAGGCACAGTGCACCACAGCACTACCTCCCTCTCTCCTTTCTCAACCTCTCAGCATGCTGTTTGTACCGTGGTGAGCAGGCAGGGAAGTCAGCATTGCTCTTCCTGGCTGAAGTAGAAGAGGAAGGGGATCTTTGCATTCATTTCATCTCTTCTGCAGAACCAGTTGTCATCTGCTCCCCATTAGTGTTCCTTGGCTCTGAATCTAATAAGCACATCTGCAGAGAAGCCAAACAGATAACTGCAGACATGAAAATATTTCCAGCAAGACATGGCAGTCATAAAATTGCTCCGTGTGAATTACTAACCTTCTTTTGATGACGACATAAAAACAGCTACAGGCTAACTGTAATCTGTGCTGTATATTATGATAGCAAATGCGATTATTTTATTACAGTGCACTGAAAAAGTTTGAAGCTAACCATTACAATTTCCTGGTCCTTCTGCAATGTTGACTATATGAGTTAATTTTTTACTAGAGTAATTTTCTCTTTTTCCAAAGCTACCACTCAAAGTTCACAGAGGGATAATTTGTAGTTACATCTCTTGCACAATGATATACAGGACAGAGAGGGTTCTGTAAATCATGGTTCCTAATAAGATCTCTAGATCTGGGTGACCTGTTCACAATTTGCTGAATCGTGCTTTTCTGGTGGGGAACTGGTTGCTGAACTGTCGTCCGAACTATCTAGAGGCAGTGATTTAGAGAAGGAGGCAAACTTTCATTTGAGGGTATTCCCTTCCCACTAGCCCTTTCCTGCTGTAAAGGAATCAGAGTTTTCCTTGTGGACTTCCCAGGGGGGAACAGACAAGCAGATGTGCCCACACTAAAGTTTTGTTTTTCCATTGCCAGAGACCCACAAGAGTGCTTCACTGGCACATCCATGACACCAGCCCACCCTGAAATTGTTCTGGCCTGCTAGGTGTCATGTCAGGCTTACTGCTGCTGGAGAACAAAAATGCCCAGTTAACTCAAAGGCAGACACAGATTCATATGCAGTAAGAGACAATCTGAGATCTTTCTTCATAGCTTTGCAAGCCATAAGTATTGAAGAACTCATAACCTTAGCATTGTGGTTTTCAGGCTTGACAGCGAAGAGAAGATACATGTAAGGGAGTTCACAAAGTGAGCGCAGTAAGACGTAGGCTATTTATCATTCTTTTTCCCTTCAAAATAAAAGGTGCATGGTGAAGACATTGTATATATATATTATATTTAACTGAGTATAATAAAGGAAAAGAAATGGAAAAGCAAGTATATAGATGTCTTTTCTAGGATCCTACTAGTGACCCTTGCCACGAGTATAGTTCACCTTTTGGGAAACAATCTCCCTGGCACTGCTGGAAATTAAGTAGCAAGATTACTGTGCTTAGAGGGGCTTTCAGTAAAATATGTTGGGAATTCCAGGAGGGACCATCTAGGAAAACTGCTAGGCCTGTGATTTTCTTCTTGAACAACTCCAAAGAATTAGCCACAGATGTTTTGTTTATTGCAATTTTCATACTTACTTTTATATATACAGATGCTTTCCTCACACTAGGTGTGGAATTTAAGCAAAGATATTTGTTTATTTGTACATAACCCCAAGAACAAATGCTAACAGACTCTGCTTGCCTCTAGCAACTAGCAATAATAATATCTCGTGCACCATGTAAGTCCTCTAGAGTAGCTAACACAGCTCTTTCCTCCTTGCCCATCCTTTCCTGGAACATGGGAAAGAAACACTGCAGGATGGGAAGATCACATGCAGGAGCTGGTTCCATGTGAACAAATGATGTCGCATGATGTCACTTCATCCTGCCTTGGCAGCGCAGATGAGGCAGTCCAAAGAGATGCCAGCAAAGACATGAGAAGCCAGGACAAGGGTTGTGGGTGACAGATGGTGCAGAAAAGGTGCTGTCTTCCAGGAGTAGAGTCCAGCAACTGTGCCTGACCTTTCAAGTGTGCTGATCCTCGTGCTTTTTGTTCTGCAGTCATGTTCCTTGTTTCCCCAGCTGAAGAATATGAGTACTGTGTACTGTTGTTATCTTCTGTTACTTCCAACAAGTTCTTCACCTTCTTATTTAACTTATGTCTTCTTTCCAAGCGAGAATATCCAGGTTTCGGTTGGATCTATTTTAAGGTGAATTAATTAACCAGCATAATAATACATTCCTGTTTTTAATTATTTAATTTGTTTTATTCTAACCTCATTATAAAGTATATTTAACAAAGCCAGTAATAAGCATTTCTTCCTCCCCCACTATCCTTCCTACTTTCATTGCAGGGAAACTTACCTCCTGATTATCGGATAAGTCTGATTGATATTGGTTTGGTGATAGAGTACCTGATGGGAGGAGCATATCGCTGTAATTACACCCGAAAAAGGTTCAGAACACTGTACCACAATTTATTTGGGCCCAAGCGGGTAAGAAGCAAGTTATTTGCCACCTGTGTGACTGTACCCACTGGCAGGGATTACCATAGCTTCTTAGGTAGTTCTAGGCTGGGGGGATCCACATGCACACATTATTCAGTCTACAGATTCATTTTCATTACTTACATAGCAGCTATTTTACCACAATCCAGCCAATGATACAAACTATATTTTTTATTGATTTAATGAAAAAATTATTGGGTTCTGCTGCCCTGGTGAAACCAGGACATAAAATAGTCTCCTCTGGCTCTAAAATCTGTACTTATGAGTATCCACAGCTTTTGAAAGACAAGTCTTTTGACTTGTCAAGAATACCATGGGGCATCTGAGTTAGATGTGAAAAAACTTGTGTTTTGTTAGACACATTTCCTACCTCATGGCTCATCTTCTTGGCTGTGGCCTAAAGATATCAAGGCAAAGAAACCCATAACTCAAAATTGGCTTCATTGGCTGAATGTGGCTGCAGCAGAGTCAGAGGGCTCATGGCAAAAACACCATTCAGTATTTTTGTGGTTTTCATGTTTGATAGATTACAATACTGTGAATCCAAAGTAAGTTTACTACCTTTCTAAAGCATAAAAGATACTTACTGTCATTCATAAAGCCACCAGCCGAATCCAGCATGAAGAGAAATCTGCTCAATTGCTCCCAGTAAGATTTGTACTTCTTTCTTTGCCTATTTTTACCTCAAATTTTCATTTCCTGTCTCAGTTCAGATTTTCACAATACACACCACTGAATATTGTTCTAAGTGGCTATAAAGAGCACACAGCTCTGTGAAACAGTTACAGCCAAACAGAAGAAATGGGTTAGTTTGTTTCCCTA